TCACAGACCTGCACATTTAGGGTTCAGAATTCTTCTCTCAAACTCAAAACACGCTGTTCCACCTTGTGATGTCATGTGGTGATACATAAAGTGCTCCTTTGCGTTTTTAAACTCCACACACCTTCACTAGAATCATTTGGATCTTTTCAGACCTGGAATTGCCGATCTCTACTCAACTAAAGGTAAAAAAAAAATGAGCTGTGGACTTGAAAACTACCACTTCATGACATCACGAGGTGCAGCAGAGTGTTTTGAGCTTTGGAGATGTAGACAGACGAATAATAAAGAGTTACTCAAACATTTGTGAATGAAAACAAAACAGAAAACACAGCTCCAGGTCTGTTTTTTTCTCAAGTTTTCAGACGATCTTCAAACGTTCCGCAGTTTGAGAATCTCTGTGTTTCTAATATAAACCCGTCCGTCCAGACCCAGCTGCACCTGCCGCCCCTGCCGCACCTGCCGCCCCTGTCCCTGTGCTGCAGATCTGTGTGTGTGTGTGTGTGTGTGTGTGTGTGTGTGTGTGTGTGTGTGTGTGTGTGTGTGTGTGTGTGTGTGTGTGTAACTCGATCAGATTCTCGTCTGTGGGGAGAAAATGGAGCTCAAATCCACTTTAAACCCAAGACCTTTTCTATAACAGAGAGATGATCTTCACACACACACACACACACACACACACACACACACACACACACACACACACACACACACACACACACACACACACACACACACACACACACACACACACACACACACACACACACACACACACTACACACACACACACACACACACACACACACACACACACACACACACACACACACACACACACACACACACACACACACACACACACACACACACACACACACACACACACACACACACACACACACACACACACACACACACACACACACACACACACACACACACACACACACACACACACACACACACACACACACACACACACACACACACACACACACACACACACACACACACACACACACACACACTACACACACACACACACACACACACACACACACACACACACACACACACACACACACACACACACACACACACACACACACACACACACACACACACACACACACACACACACACACACACACACACACACACACACACACACACACACACACACACACACACACACAACACACACACACACACACACACACACACACACACACACACACACACACACACACACACACACACACAACACACACACACACACACACACACACACACACACACACACACACACACACACACACACACAGACATTTCCGTGCTTCTTGGAGACGTTACATTGACTTTCATTCATTTCTATGGAGACTGATCCTGGCCTTAAAGGGACAGTCTGGAATTTTGGACATAGAACCTCATTTCCTCGTGGTCCAGAGAGTTGGAGACGTGTGGAGACACTTTTAAATATTCCATCCAGTCCTTGTATGTGCAGAGGTCACAATACACCTGATCTAGTCCTGGTTTAGACCTGATACAGTCCTGGTTCAGTCCTGTCTCAGTCCTGGTTAAGCCCTGGTTTAGACCTGGTTTAGACCTGATACAGTCCTGGTTCAGTCCTGTTCCCCTGTCAGTCCTCAGTCCTGGTTAAGACCTGGTTTAGACCTGGTTTCCTGGTTTAGACCTGGTTTAGACCTGATACAGTCCTGGTTCAGTCCCTGTTTAGACCTGGTTTTAGACCTGGTTCAGTCCTGGTTCAGTCCTGGTTTCAGTCCCTGTTTAGACCTGGTTTAGACCTGGTTTAGACCTGGTTTAGACCTGGTTTAGACCCTGTTTAGACCTGGTTTAGACCTGGTTTAGACCTGGTTTAGACCTGGTTTAGACCTGATACAGTCCTGGTTCAGTCATGTCTTTGTTTGGAAATATTCCCTGTTGTATCTTTAAATGTTTAAATGTGAAGCAGAGATGAGTTTTGGTTTGATTGTTTGATTGTTTGTTTACTCCGTGGAGGAGGGAGAAAGTTTTTGCTGGAAAGTTGCCGTTCCCCAGTAAACACAGGCTAATTACTGTGTGGGAAATGTTTGACGTAACTCCGATCAGGACACGGCCTCTCTGTGGGAAAGTCGGGAAAACACCCAGGAATGAGGAACATGTGGCTGGATCTGCTCGGAGCGAGACGGAGAGGTGATGGAGAAAGAGACGGGAGACGACTTCAGGTCATTAGACGTTTGTTATCGTCTGAAACCACAACACGTGTCACTGTTACTGTAACAGTTTGGTTTCTTCCTGCTTCCACCTGCTGATGTCATGAGGTGCTGCTCTTCCGTGTTTCTAAAGGTCCTATATCACACAAAACTGACTCTTGTGAAGTCGTGTTATAATGTTGTTACCTCCTCAAAAACAGACCTGGAGTTTTGTGTTTTGTGTTTTGTGTTGTGTTTTCATTCACACATGTTTAACTGCTGCTATTTCAGCTCTCTGTACTTTACATATTGCACCTTAATTACTTAAAAAATATTTGCCTAATTTCTCTTCTGGTTGAAAATATAAATATTTTTTGTCTGTCTGTATATTTTAATGTTTATTTCATTTATTATTGAGGTCTGTGTATATTTCACGTTCCGTGTACTGATGTGTGTGTTTTAGTTTTTAATTTGCACATTTGAAGTTTGAAATATAATTTCAATCCTCCCGTGTAAAGTCTGTTACATGGTTTGATTGAAAATAAAGTTCACTTTGACTTTGACTTGAGCAACCGTTTATCAATTCATTAATCAATTCATTAATCATTGCATTAATACAGCTCCTTTCAAGACGCCCACAGCACTTGACAGTTCATTGTTCATTCACTCTGTGGTGTAAACTACTATTGTAGCCACAGCTGCCCTGGGGCAGACTGACAGAAGTGTCCCTCCCACCAACACCAACACTCACGCCAGACACGTCAAACTCAGGCCCGGGGGCCAAATTTGGCCCATGATATAATTATATTTGTTTATATTATATATTAGATTATATTGTAGATTTGTTGTTTTTAATATGATTTTAATGTATTTCTTATTCTGTAAAGCACTTTGAATTACTTTGTGTACGAATTGTGCTGTACAAATAAACTTGCCTTGCCTAATATATATATATATATATATATATATATATATATATATATATATATACATATATATATATATCACATATATATACGTATATATTTATATATATATATATATATATATATATATATATAGTATATCCATATTTTTAGTTTTTTATTTCGGCCTCTGTGAGTTTGAGTTTGACTCAAACACACTCCACTTTCATACTAGGCAATGTGAGTGAAGTGTCTTGCCTAAGGACACAACAGTTTTTTACCCCCCCCATCATCAGTGATCTCCAACCTGTAGCTCTGGATCTTCCAGTGGCTCCACCTCCTTCCAAACAGCTCGTCAAATCATTTCTGAATTTCCTTCACCTGTTCCAGAAGTCCAAGGTGTTCCCAGTCCAGAGACAGACTCCCTCCAGTGTGTCCTGGGTCTTCCCCGGGACTTCCTCCTGAGGGAGACGTCCAGGAGACATCAGAACAGACGTCCTCCCCTCAGCTGCTCCTCTCCACGTGGAGGAGCAGCGGCTCTACTCCGAGCTCCTCCCGTGTGACTGAGCTCCTCACTCTGTCTCTAAGGGAGACGCCCAGACACTCTGTGGAGGAAACTCATTTGTGTCACTTGTATCGTGGATCTGGTCCTTTGGATCATGACCAGAGCTCATGACCAGAGGTGAGAGGAGGAACAGAGACTTGGTAAATCGAGATCTTTGTCTTTGAGCTCAGCTTCCTCTTTGTGCACTAATACATGGATAAAGGTTTGTTTTTTATGGGCATCTAACTGTTCCCATCTCAGGCTTTATGTGCTCAGTTTCTTGTGACCGTCTGTGGCTGCTCTTTGGCATTTTCTTTTTATAAAGGAGCTCACTGGGGGAAAATACAAGGCTGGAGATCCCTGCTGACATCATGACGTCACAAAGTAGGACAGAGTGTTTCCAGTTTATGGGAAGAACTTACCCTAAATGTGCAAATGGTTTGTGTGTTAAACATGTGTGAAAGAAACAAAACACAACACAACAAAACACAAACACAACAGAACAAAACACAACAGAACAGAACACAGCTCCAGTTCTGTTTGTGATGAGGAAACCACATTAGATCAGAGAGAAAATCCTACAACTGTGTCACCTGAGCTCTTTAAATATGAACATAAATAAATCACCAGACACAGCGGAACAAACGTTTCTTCTTCCTGATTCTTATCCTGTTTTAGTCTTAGTGTAGCTCTGGTTTAGTCCATGATTGGCCTTAGTTTAGACCTGGTTTAGACCTAGTTTAGTCCTAATATAGACCTGGTTTAATCCTTGTTTAAACCTAATTTAGACCTGGTTTAGACCTGGTTTAGTCCTGGTTTAGACCTGGTTTAGTCCTGGTTTAGTCCATGATTGGCCTTAGTTTAGACCTGGTTTAGTCCTGGTTTAGACCTGGTTTAGTCCTGGTTTAGACCTGGTTTAGTCCTGGTTTAGTCCTGGTTTAGTCCATGATTGGCCTTAGTTTAGACCTGGTTTAGTCCTGGTTTAGTCCTGGTTTAGACCTGGTTTAGTCCTGGTTTAGTCCATGATTGGCCTTAGTTTAGACCTGGTTTAGTCCTGGTTTAGACCTGGTTTAGTCCTGGTTTAGTCCATGATTGGCCTTAGTTTAGACCTGGTTTAGTCCTGGTTTAGTCCCTGGTTTAGACCTGGTTTAGTCCTGGTTTAGTCCTGGTTTAGACCTGGTTTAGACCTCTGGTTTATGGTCATTATCCTGCTCCTCTCGGTTCCTGTCAGGTCAGCTCCTCCTCCTCCTCCTCCTCCTCCTCCTCCTCTTCCTCCTCTGTACCGAGCAGCGGCGTCCAGCGCGCACGGACCCACCGGAGCGTCCACATCTCCGCGTCCCCGCCCCCGCTCTGCCCGCCGCTCTGCCCGCCGCTCTGCCCCCCGCCGTGTGCCCGCTCTGCCCTCGCTCTCTCCCCCGGCCGCAGCGCGACTCTGCCCCCGCCGCTCCCGCTCCATCCCCGGGGCGCGGAGGAGGAGGGCGTCACCGCGGCGCCGCTGTCAGAGCCGTAAACAGACCTCGGAACCGACCCGGATCCAGCTCTCACACGGACTCTTTGTTTCCAGAAAAGGGGAGAATCGGACTCGGATCCAGGTAAACACGTCCGCCGCTCGGGGTTTTTGCGTCAAACTTGCAGAACCGTGTCGGATTTCTTTGTCTGGTCCGCGCACAGACGCAGCCCACACGCGCTCCGCTCTTGTTTGGGTTCGCTGTGTTCACTTTTAAAGCATCGTGCAGACGCTGGCACGCTCAAGACCGGGTTTAGTTCTGCTGTAGACCTCGTTTAGACCCGGTTTAGACCCGGTTTAGACCTGGTTTAGATCTGCCGTAGACTTGGTACAGTCGTGGTGGTTTCGTTCTGGTTTGTAGTTCAGGTTGAAGTCCTAGTTCACTGCTGGTTTTGACCTGATTAGACCTGGTTTAGTCCTGGTTTAGTTCTGCTTCAGTCCTGGTTCAGTTCTGGTTCAGTTCTGGTTTAGTCCTGGTTTAGTCTTGGTTTAGTACAGGTTTAGAACTGGGTTAATCATAGTTTAGTCCTGTTTTTGACCTGATTAGTCTTGATTAGTCTTGGTTTAGTCCTGATTCAGTCCTGGTTTAGTCCTGGTTTAGACCTGGTTTACTCCTCATATAGTCCTTGCTTAGTCCTGGTTCAGTCCTGGTTTAGTCCAGGTTTAGTACAGGTTTAGAACTGGGTTAATCATAGTTTAGTCCTGTTTTTGACCTGATTAGTCTTGATTAGTTTTGGTTTAGTCCTGGTTCAGTCCTGGTTTAGTCCTGGTTTAATCTTGGTTTAGTCCTGGTTCAGTCCTGGTTTAGTCTTGGTTTAGTAAGGATTTAGAACTGGGGTAATCCTAGAGCAGTCCTGGTTTAGACCTGGTTTAGACCTGGTTTAGACCTGGTTTAGACCTGGTTTAGTGTTTTCAGTGTTTTGACCTGATTAGTCTTGATTAGTCGTGATTAGTCCTGGTTCAGTCCTGCTTCAGTCATGCTTTAGTTTGGGTTTAGTCCTAGTTTATACCCAGTTTAGACCTGGTTAAGTCCTCATATAGTCCTGGTTTAGTCCTGGTTTAGAACTGGGTTAATCATAGTTTAGTCCTGGTTTTGTCCCCGTTTTTGGTCTGATTAAGTCCTGCTTTAGTTTGGGTATAGTCTTGGTTTAGTCTTAATACTACTACTACTACTACTACTACTACTACTACTACTACTACTACTACTACTACTACTACTACTACTAATATTTAGTCTGTTTGTTTTGTTATCATTTCTCTCGTTCTTGTTTACATCCTGGTTCTGTCGGGTGCAGAGATTTTCTTCTGTTTTGTGGTTGAACAAACGTCTCTTCAGGTCCTGATTCTTGTCCTGGTTTAGTCCCAGTTTAGACCTGGTTTAGTCTTGGTTTAGTTCTGGTTTAGTCCTGCTATAGTCTTAGTCCTGGTTTCTGTCCTGTTCTAATTAAAATTGATTTTAGTGCCATAGTTTAGTCCTTTGTTATTTTCATCCTCATTTAACCCCTTTGCAGTCAAGTGTGTCCTGGTTTAGTCCTGGTCTGGTCCTGATTTAGCCCTGATTGATTCATGGTTTAGTCCTGGTCTAGTCCTGATTTAGCCCTGATTGATTCATTGTTTAGTTCTGGTTTAGTCCTGGTCTAGTCCTGATTTAGCCCTGATTGATTCATGGTTTAGTCCTGGTCTAGTCCTGATTTAGCCCTGATTGATTCATGGTTTAGTCCTGGTCTAGTCCTGATTTAGCCCTGATTGATTCATGGTTTAGTCCTGGTCTAGTCCTGATTTAGCCCTGATTGATTCATGGTTTAGTTCTGGTTTAGTCCTGGTCTAGTCCTGATTTAGCCCTGATTGATGGTTTGGTCTAGTCCTGATTTAGCCCTGATTGATTCATGGTTTAGTTCTGGTTTAGTCCTGGTGCACTCCTAGTTTGGTCTTGGTTTTGACATGATTTAATTCTGGTTCAGTCCTGATATAGACCTGATTTAGTCCTTGTATAGTTCTGGTTTAGTACGGGTTTAGACCAGTTTTAGTCTTGGTTTAGCCCTGGTTTAGTCCCAGTTTAGTCCTGATTTAGTGCTGGTTGTGTCCCAGTGTATCTTTGTTTATAGTCCTGGTTTGGTCCAGGTTTAGTCCTGGTTCAATCCAAGTACATAGTCCTGGTTTAGTCCTTGGTTTAGACCTGTTTTAGTCTTTGTTTAGACCTGGATTAGTTCTAGTTTAGTCCCATTTTTGTCGTAATTAATCCTGGTTTAGTTCTAGTTTAGTCCTGCTTTAGTCCTGGTTCAATCCATGTACATAGTCCCGGTTTAGTCCTGGTTTAGTCCTAGTTTAGTCCTTGTATAGTTATGGTTTAGTACGGGTTTAGACCTCTTTTAGTCATGGTTTAGACCTGGTTTAGTTCTGGTTTAGTCCTGGTTTAGTCATAATTAATCCTGGTTTAGTGCCAGTGTATCTTTGCTTTTAGTCCTGGTTTGGTCGAGTTTTAGGTCTACTTTAGTCCTGGTTCAGTCCATTTATATAGTCCTGGTTTAGTCCTAGTTTTGTCTTAGTTTAGTCCTGGTTCAGTCCTGGTTTCGACCTGGTTTATTCCTTGTATAGTCCTGGTTTACTACGGGTTTCAACCTGTTTTAGTCTTGGTTTAGACCTTGTTTAGTTCCAGTTTAGTCCTGAGTTAGTCCTGGTTTAGTCCAAGTGTATCTTTGATTTTAGTACTGGTTTGGTCCAGTTTTAGGTCTACTTCAGTCCTGGTTCAATCCATGTATATAGTCCATGTTTAGTCCATGTTTAGTCCATGTTTAGTCCATGTTTAGTCCATGTTTAGTCCTGTTTAGTCCTGGTTATTCCTGGTTTTGGCCTAATTTTTGCTTCTCACAGTGTTTTTTTGTCACATTGCCAGTGGTTTGTATCATGTGAGGAGGTTGTGGGTTCGACTCCTGACCCGTGAGTGTGACTGTGGCTCAGTGGTTCAGCTCTCCTCCCGTCCACCAGCAGGTTGTGGGTTCGACTCTCGTGGCGTTTGTCTGTTTTTTCTTCAGTTGTGATGAACAGTTAAACTTCTGAAGCCTCGTCTCAGAGTTTGGAAGTTCTTTTTGGAGGAGATGTGACCAAATATGGGAAAGGTCACGTCGTATCTTTCAAACTTATCATAATCTAAAAATATCAAATCCCAAATGTCCAAAAAAATCGCTTCCTGTGCTTCCAAATCCATGCCAACTTATTTTTAGGGCTGCAATTATTCACTGGAACAGCATCGAAAATCAGATTCTAATCGATTCTAAAGCCAGTATCGAAAACAGATCCTCATTTTTTGCAGGTATCGATACTAAAAACAAAACAAAATCTTTCCTGAACGATCTGGAGCTGGATCAGAACAAGTTTAAGAGCACAGAGACCAGAATAAACACACGGACCTGTTCAATTTAAGTTTATTTACACAGAGCTTTTAAAACAACTTGAGTCGCCTGAAGTGCTTCACATAAAAGTGAACAAAGAACCTGACTGGATCCTGTTGAAGGCCAAGAGAAGACGAGAGGTTTAAGTCTGGTCTTAAACTGAGTTACAGACTCAGAGGATGGACTGGGTATTAAGAAGTTGTCGATACGATACAATACCTTGATACATAGGCCACGTTATGATACAATACCTCGATACAGTGCACTTTCAGTTTGATACGATATATTTCAAATCAATCCGATACAGTTCAATAAAAAACTACTGATTAAATCACAGCTCTGGTACTAGAAAGTGGTTTAAACCAGAGGTCTTCAATCCTCGGACCGTGGACCAGGACTGGGCCGTGGATCATTTGGTACCAAAAGCCCCATATGCTGCGTGGACTGGGTCTTCTCGCGTTCCTCTAAACCAGAACTAAAATCAGGATTAAACGAGGACTAAAACAGGACTAAACCAGTTCTAAACCAGGTCTAAACCAGGACTAAACCAGGTCTAAACCAGGACTAAAACCAGGTCTAAACCAGGTCTAAACCAGGTCTAAAACCAAGACTAAACCAGGACTAAACCAGGTTTAAAACCAGGACTAAAACAGGATTTAACCAGGACTAAAGCCTCCGTTACCTCTCGTCTTGAGTCCAGTTTTAAGTTTGACGAACAGATAAATGCAGCGGTTAAATACATTTATTATTTTTTTTAATTACCTGCGTCTTTTCTCCAGACTCAGATCGGTTTGATCTTTTAGTGATTTGAAGCTTTTATCTTTACTCGTCTTGACTAGAGTCTGACTGATGTATCGATATTATCGACTGATATTGGCACTTGGAGACATATCGGCCTAAATCTTGTTGATCTGGGCCAATAGTCGCCGTGGGCAGGTTCTACCTCGTTATAAAGCTCAGACTCTATATCAGACATGTCAAACTCAGGCCCGGGGGCCAAATTTGTCCATGATATAATTATATTTGGCCTGTGAGATCATATTAAATCTGCTGCACACAGATCGACTATAGAGACATTATTTATTTAAAATGTTGTTATTATTTTATATTCTGTTTGTTCTGGATTCAATGTTTAATCAGAACTATTATTAAACATTTATTTTAATAAACAAAAGGTTTAACATTAAATATATCAAAAGAAGAGAAAACATGCAGATGTTGTTAAAGTTTTTCAATAAATATTTAGTTTGGTCCACGACTTAGTCCCAGTTTTTATTTTGGCCTCTGTGACTCTGAGTTTGACACGTCTGCTCTATATTACATCCATTAAATTAAATTTACAGACAGATAAATGTCCTGATATTGTGGCTCCACATCAGTATTTATCTGCTGAGTCATTTGTTTGTGTCTGTGACGCCGTACTGCCCCTGAACACACCACCAGAGTCACGTCACTCACCTGTCATGTCCGATCCACGACCCTGACGAGAAATAACAGTGAACTTCAGAGCCGTGTAGGCCAGAAACAAAACTACTGCTTGTTTTACGTATTAGTGCAGACTTGTGATCTGAGAGGAGCCTCTGTGACAAATGTGTCGGTTTTGGAGCGACTCGGTTCCTTCTCGTTGTTTCGCTGCTGTAGCTCTCACATAAACAGTCTGTTTTCTGACATTGTTCTAGTGTAAAGTGACTACAGT